GAGTCTCTTCACACCCTGCCATGCTATCAGTGTCGTGTGACGGAAAGGAGGGATAATGCTGATAGTATGCAATAGAAGAGGCATTGGAATAATTAAGGGCAACACACCTAGTATACAGCGTCAATTGGAAGGAATGACCTTTGTGCTAACTACGGTTTTTAAGGGCGATAGGAAAGGTCAATTATGAAGTGCAGTGTCCCGTAAAGTACAAAGATATGGGCAGCGTTAGCGTGAAGCCTGCATAAATAGCAAGGCAGGCTACCCCTACAGTACGTGATATTCGCAGATAAAATGGCCTATCTTGTCGTAAAAACAGTTTGAGCCCTCAGAGTGGGATCACATAGTAAAACGTGGATATAATCTGATTTAAATACGGAGGGAAGAGGCAGGGTGTTGTCATGATTAAGTGCTAAAACCCAGCGCGAACGTCTGAAACAGAAAGTTATTTACGAAAAGACGGAGGGCAGCAACAAAAGAACTTGATAGGGTAGGGTTAGCCAAACACCCCGTTTACGAGATAAAACAACTAATGGCTTCGGGCAACTTTTCGTTCTACAAAAAAACACATTCAGAGCCACAAACCTGAACAACGTAGTTGCCATACTGGTCCCTAACCAGGCTGTCGACACTCTTGTGCAACTCATCAAGAATGCGTCGTGTCTGTTCGGGCATGCAGTGCTCCAAAATTCGCTGAATAACTCGACATCCGTACGGGTGAGAAGATAAGGCCGAGACCTGGAAGACAAGAAGGCATAGGTCAAGGTGCAATATAGTTCGGGCAAAAGCGTTTCCGGTAAAATGCATTGCGCACAGAGACAAACTACACGCGCCAGAAACGAAAGTAATAATCCGCGACAAGATCAACTGTGGAATAGATACAATTATACAGGTAGTTTTGAGAGGGCTGGATGAATGAAAGCCAAAGTTATACGGCGAGACTGGGAATCAAAAAGATCTGCAGGACTAGCGCACAAAGGGTCCCACCATTGGAGGCTACATTTTATTACTCAGGATTGAAATATATAGAAACCAAACCTTAATTTTCAGTAGTTTTCTAAGTTAGTAGGCCTTAGTGTTGACCATTTTCCCACTATGACTTGGTTGTTTGATGTCATTAGATTTAGGTGGCGGCTTTTGTCTCCGACTGCAAAATGTCGGATAGGCCGTAGGAAAGATGCAGACCGGCCTGCATAAACGATGGGCCCCGAATTTTGAAAAGAAACCATTGCAGACCAAAGACTCGGAATCGACAAGGGCTTTTATAGGCCAGCCTGATGAACCGTCACGTCACCCCACCAAAAACCAGGCCAAACGCCAATGCTCTCGACGGATATCATGGAAAGATAGCTACGGGCGATTCATCAAAGGCAGAATTATAGGCAGTCAAGGACGATCTAATAATCACTTTCAAAGACGGCGAAGCAAAAAAGCCGTCAGGACGAACGACCAGTCAAAAGGTACGACTAGGCTCTGATACGCGATGAGTGGGCGCAAATGTCATCGCACCAACGAGTTAATGGCAAGCAATAACAAGGAAATCGACCTCGAAGGTGTACCAAATTTAAAGTCATCCAAATTTATTTTGTGAAATTCAGTCTGGTTGTTCAAGGAGCGTTGCTGAAAAAATAAGAGAAAATGTCCTGCAAATCAGAAGTACGCACCGACTTAAATTCCTATCACTTAAAATACTAAGAGAAAGCGATTTTATATCCAACAGACTTGTTGGAGTAGTTCGCTGCCTGTAAGGTGGCCTTTGAGCCTTCCCGTTGAATATTTTTATTGCGTACTGTGAAGTTTATCTGTTTCAATTTACAAGGCCTCACAGAAGACTCTAATAAGCGCTCATAGGGAAACTGGACAAAAGCAATAATCCACAGTAAACACCGAAGTGGCCCTAAACAATGCGACTGAACAACACGACACAACGCGAAGGCTATCCATGAAATAATCACGCTCCTTCGTCTTACAAATACGCAGTTATGGAGCATTCAATTCCAGACTGACTAGCAAAAAGTCACGAGACTTGGGGCCATTGCAGTATGGCGAATGTTGGCTGGCGTCGGAAATAACCACGGAATCTCCAAATTGGTGGAGCGATGGAGCGGATTGAGACGGGGATGAGAATAGGTCGGTGGTTTGCGTGACTTCATACACATGTGAGACAACAAGCCAGGATTCATACAAACTCTGCGTGATCTGACTAATAAATGTCATGAGCTATTTTTGCCGCCAGTACAACAGCGGTGCAATCCGTTTAGAGAAGAGTGGTGGGGGCATATAGATAGTCGCACACACACGTACACCTGAATATCGGCTAGGCTATCAGCGCAGATGTGGGGCAAGAATAGTGATCGGCACGCGCTAAAACAGGCAGTGGATTACGCAAATAGGCCCTTGAAACCGAGGATGACGTCCTGATCAGAATACCAAGATGACGCATAGCAAACACGCGTGCACGTACGCACGCACGCGCAGAGACGAGAAAACGAGCAGCGGCGGCGACGACAACGACGCGGTGAGCGAACATAGAGAGGCGAGAGAGAGA